TTCAATAAAATAATATTTTCTATCACATCAATAATTTTATCTTCTTTTTCAACCACACATTTCTCATCATATCACTATTCAAAATCAATTCCCCCCCAAAAAATCCCTACCAAACACACACGTAGACTTTAATTTTTAGAATCATGCTAGAGGTACCTTTCCCCTTACCCTTTACATTACCCGACCCCACACTCCCCCCTCACAAGGGGGGGGCCACGGATTATTTAATTCACCTCGGGCCCCACCTCATTGTGAGGGGGGCGGTGGGGTCGGGTAATGTAGAGTGTAAGGGGAGGGTACAAATGGCTTTACCCTAATTTTTATTGGATTTATAATTATTTATAAATTTTGTATTCAAACTTGAATGATTTACGTAAGATATTTATATTTTAAAATTCTCTTAAGTAGGAAGCGAAGTGACAGGACGGTTTTCCGCCATTTACATTTCATCATTGATTTCCACGTGGCTTACGTTTCACACACACATCAGACACATTTTACGTGAAAGTCTTTGCCTCTATATATGCTAAATTTCAGCAGCCCCCGCCCCGCCCGATTGTCATGCCAACTTCAAATCTCATAATCCAAAATCTTAAATACCATTTAATTTCTAGGGTTTCCATTCTTCAAAATCTTTCCTTTCACTCTTACGCGTTGTGAAGTCTAAGCAAAGACTCTCTCAATTCTTGATTTGTTTGCATTCTATTGAATTTTTGAGATATAGGAAAAAGGTATACTGATATTTTAATTATTTTTCCGTGTAGGTTGTTTATTGTATTGATTTGGCAGCGTAAATGTTGGACGAGAATTTGGGTGTATTTTCTGTTCTTTCTTGGGCAATATTGTCTGGCATCGGAATAAAATTGACTGGCATGAATTTATCTACTGCATGATCTTAAGATTGGGAACTTGTGAATTTATACAGTGCATGTGTGAATAAAAATAATGGAATTATTATTTGGATAAGATCTAAACTGTGGTGCTTGCAATTACTCTGTAGTAGTATGTTTTCACTATAATATATGAGCCTGTTTTTAATGAATATGCTTGCAAGACTTTAGAAACTCTGTACTTCCAGATTCTATGGTAGTGGATATGAATAGTCCTGTCTGTTTGGACTCTGGATGCAATTTGATTGATACATGATGCAGGGTTTATGATTTGATTTTTTCATTTATCAGGTTTCGATTGTGATATTCTCTGAAGAACAATGATTATGCTTTTGGTATTTATGCCACTGATGACATGGACTTTCTCTTGCATAAAGGATTTTATTTTAGGATGTTTCCTTTAAACCTGCACCAGAAAGGAATTTCAAAGTTTGAAAAATGGATACTTGGAACTTCTTTGGAATGTAGTTTGCGCGATTGAATCAACATTGATATTATTGTAGTCTTTTTACAAAATAAAGAAGTTGAGCATTCCAGTTTTACTTTTGCAGGTTCAGGATAAGTTTGAAGAACTACGGCTTCTTGCAGTATTGGTCTTTTGGACTTCTTTGCTATTTAACATATGAGGATCTGTTATCTCATTTTTGGATGATGACATTCCACAAGTTTGCTGTTAGAGTGATATAGAGATGAACATTTCTGCTCTGTTGACTTCTTCTGGTATCAATACTGCAGTGTGTGTGGTGCTGTTTTCCGTGTATTCCATTTTAAGAAAACAACCAAGCCTAGTGAGTGTGTACTTCGGGCAAAAACTTTCTCAGGTGAGGTCAAAACGCAATGATCCACTTTGGTTTCAGAGATTTATTCCTTCTGCTAGTTGGATAGTAAAATCATGGGAAGCATCAGAGGAAGAATTATTTGCCACTGGGGGTCTGGACGCTGTTGTCTTTCTCCGGGCGGTTGTGTTCAGGTGACAACACACGTAAATTTCAACATTCTCAGGACTCAAATCATGTTTCAATATTATTGTAATGATGGATCTTCATTTATTTACTTGAAGAAGAAAGACCCTTTGATTTGTCTGTGTGTTTTATCAATTGGAGCGATAAACTTGTTTCATTCTCTTATGTAGGTTGTGTTTGTGACAATCACTGAAATATTCTTCTGCTTTCTTTACTATATCCTTCTATTAAGTGATGTAGTTCCATAAAGTATTTCACCATTCTTCAAGACATGCACATGGTCACATCGATTTCCATCTTGTCCTCTAGGAAAAGGAATTAAATATTGAACTAACATATTGACAACGCTGCTGCATGTGTTCTTCATTTTCTCTAGATATGGGAAGCATTGTTTTTTGCCTGATTGAATTTCCTGGTATTCTAGCTGTTATCCTAACATAAGCTGCTGCTTTACCATGTGCAGTGTCCGAGTATTCTCAGTTGCTGCTGTTATGTGCTTGTTTCTTGTGCTTCCACTTAATTATTTTGGGAAAGAGATGGAGCATAAACATATTCGAGATGAGCAGTTGAGCGTGTTCACCATTGAGAATGTCAAGGAAGGGTCAAGATGGTATGGAATATGTCAATATCTATTACTGAGAATACGTGCCTGTTCTATTCCTGTGAATGAATTTTATTTGCTAGAAGTAGTCTGCTTTACAAAATCCATTCTATAAGTCTAATTAAAGATGGTTAGGGGGACAGGAGGGGGATTGTCTGGGCTCATATACTGGTCTGGACACAACTTTTCCGTGCGGAACAAATTCCAATGCTTACATTCATGTAGAGTCTAACCTCAACTTGCATTTAGAGAGGTAAATGAAAAGGGAGCTACTTTGGCGTGCCAGCGAAAAAAACATCAAGGATGAAATCCTGGTTATAATATCATTTTAATCATGTCTGAAAAGCATTTGCGTTGAGTGCAGAAAGTGCCTTCATAGAATAGTGTGGGAACTTATAACTTTCTCAATGTGGAACAAATGCACAATTTTTAATAATATAATACCATGGGTGAATAGTCAATTACATTAAATGCTTACTTGCTAATTAATTTGAGCATTCAACTAGACACTTAAATTTTTTACATTAAGTGCTTACATGCTAATTAATTTGAGTTTCCAACTAGACACTTAAAATTATCAGTTCAACTTGATAAATATAATGTCATGATAGCATAATTGGTACATGTGACCTCTCATCAAGGTTGAAATAGAATTGAAAAATAAGATATTGTGGGGCTTTTTTGAATTAGAAAAGATGCATATTCGGAGTTGAAACTTTTTCATCTTAGATTTTTTCAATAGTTATCCCTGTTGAGCTTATGTGGATTCTTTGAAAGGATGGGAAACAAACACATTGTGCATTCATTTACTGAAGTAGATATTAAATGCTAGAATGTTTCTTCTTTTATAAATTTTTCTCTCCTCTCCATTTTTTCGTGACTTAATTCTTTCTAATTTGTTTCGTATATTTGGTTTTTGTCAGGCTTTGGGCTCACTGTCTTGCATTATATGTCATATCTTCCTGTGCTTGTATTCTTCTTTACTTCGTAAGGACTTTTATTTTCATTTGATTGAGATGTACAGAGTTTAAATGTATGATTCTTTTCTATAACCTTGTTGATAGCATATATCTGCTTGTCTTTAGGAATACAAAAGCATCACAAAAATGAGATTGGCATATATTACAGCATCTCATTCCCAACCAAGTCACTTTACTGTACTTGTTCGTGCCATACCATGGTCTCGAGAAGAATCGTACAGTGTCAGGGTTGCTAAATTCTTTACAGATTACTACTCATCAAGCTATTTGTTGCATCAAATGATTTATCAGTCCGGTACAGTGCAGAAATTGATGGTGAGCATGTAAATGGATCTTCTTTAATAACAGCTGATATTTTCCTTATTCGGCAATGTTATGGATTAAATGCCTAATCCCATATTATTGAGAGCAATAACAACTCGAAATAAGAAAAACACAAACCTATCAATGGAAGTAAAAACAAACGATTTGTGGTGCTTCTCTATCAATGGGAGAGTCCACTTACCGCTTCAGTGTTTCACTATAAAGAAGAATACATGTATGTGAAACTCACGCCTCTCTATTTTGTTCTCTCTACACAGAAAAAGAGGCTTGTTCTAATGCCTATTATATAAGGAGGAAATATTAAAGCAACTTAATACATATGCAAACTGCCAAATATACCTTTATATTAATATTAGAATTTTGCCTTGGGACTCCCCCACCCTAGACCTACCACCCCGAAGGGATTAGTGATGAGTGTAATTAGACTACACATCCAATAAAACATTCGCATTCCTTATTTTGTAGTCATAATATGCATTCTATAAGTATGTGATGCTGAAGATGATCATTTCTAACTTTATCTCGGTTTATCATAGATTTGTGTGAATCAAATGGACGTGTGAGCTAAACCATATCTTCTCGATACTCTTAATAGGCAATAAAATTGAACCCTAGAGTGTGTTTGGTAGAGATTAAATCGGATTAAAGTTGAAAAATTAGCCGTTATTGTTAACTTTTATTAGACGGGTGGGACCCAATAACGGCTATATTTTCAATTTTAATTGGATTTTTAGTATTACCAAACAAGCTCCTAATGTGCATTCTCCGGTAGACTTACCTTATGCGAAATAGTCAAAGATTGATTAACAATGGATAAATTTGTAGCACGCCCATATATAGGAAGGGTGTTATTTCATTCTACCTATCATACTTCGGAAAGTACAATTTACATGTAATTATTCATGTCTGTTGACAAATAACATTGTGTTAATCTTCGTGAAAGAAAAATAGAGAAGTTGCAAATGTACCATTATGAAAAATCCAGATAATTCAAGAAACCCACTTTTGCAAATTTACAATTTCTCACCTTGTACATTGACATACAACAACACTTTAAATAACATAATTTAGAAAATTATATGGAGGTTTAGCATGCAGTGACTATAGTGGCGAATCCAAAAATATAGGTGAGCACAGGCGACCGTCCAATATAAGGAAAAAAAATATTTTCGGCGGAGCCAACACGAGCGGCCGCATTGCTTAATAGGCTAAATTTTCCGAAATTATTTGTAAGTCATTTTCATAGTTAATACACGCACTTCTGTGAATGACTTGAACGATACTACTAGTTCTCTTCTCCTCTTTAAGGGCTTAATAGGCCATCTATGAAGTTGATTTTCCTACAAGTTACCCTGAATTAGCAGCTTATTGATAATATCTTAGGATTTGACTTTTGAGCCATCAACACTAAAATATTTTTCTAGGGTAAACAATGTGACGAAGACTTTTGTTCTGCTGAAACTACTTCAAAGTTATAGCTTGCTCCATTGCAAGGTTTCTTCAGCTGTATCCTGTAACAATGTACAGCAGGGAAGTGTGTCCCCAGTTCATAAGGGAAGTACACACAACTGTCTGTTATAAACACCTAAAGGAAAACTTGTTGATTTCCTGTTAGTAATTATTGGCCACGTATGTAGGAAACTTTGTTATAATTCTGGATCTTTTCGTAGGGTTGCTCTTCAAGCTGAGGTAATCATTATGGGCCTCGAAGAGCATGTCACATATGTCAGTGAGAGACAATTCTATTCTACATGGGTTTGGTTAGAATTAAACGATGATTTTTAAGGACATGTGTAGCTACAAGTTGACAACTAGTGTTTAAACATCTTGAACAAGTGAATTAGAGACCCAACATGGATTTAAAGTAATAAAACTCTGAGAGCATCTTGAACCAGTGAATTAGACTCCAACGTAGATTCAGAGTAATAAAAAATCCGAGTTATTGCTATGAGATGTCTTTTACTTTACACTGTCACCTTCCCCATGTATTCTTTTTCAGTGACAGATATTTTGGTTATTTTGTTGTCTGCAGACAGATGCCAAGAAGATTTGCAATATGCTCAAGTCCAACACCACGGAACAACATTATGGATCTCGATTGTTAAGATGTGGCTTTTGTGGAGGAACTTCAACATCTTTTAAGATCCTTTCTCCTGAGCCTGAAAATGTTAGGACTACAAGCTGCCCTGACAGTCCAGATTTGGGGAAGAAGGTCTGAATTTCTACATGTATTTACGACGTAGATTAATTTCATTTGCTCACTGATATCAACTGCACTGTGCTTCTGCTAAATATATATCATCTCGAATTTTCTTTAGTTCATTGTTAGGCTGTTTTGACACCTAATGGACAATATAGTGAGATCTATACCAGCCCTTCCTGACTTGGACGTCTGAGAATTTTTTCTTGTGTTAAATTAGTATTCAGGATAAAGGAAGTGATGTATGTACTATCTCCATATTCTGCAGCAGTCTAACAGCTTCTATCCTTAACTTAATGCATATTGAAGTAAATTCATTTGGACCATCTAAAATTCAATTCTGTCCTCTGTGATTTGTATGCCTCGGAAAATAATATTTCATTTGAACCTGTTGCTTCTATGAAAATGTTCTACTGTCTGACTTATGTGTCCACTTTAAACTTTATTATCAGCAACAGCTGTTCTCTGGATAAATTCTTTGTATTTGAATATATGTTAACTTGGAGCGACCAGTGGCGTGACAGTTGAGGAAAATCCAATCTTGATGCGAGGGAGTAAAATTGTGAAATTATGCACTAATTTCTACAACAGGTCATCAAGGTTTTGGAATCTGAATGTGGTCAAATATATGTAAGGCAATTTCTAATAGGGTAATTGACACAATATCCCCCTGACCTTTGCCTGTTTTGTTGAATGTCCCCCTATCCTTTCATTCTGGCGCAAAAACCCTTGGACGGCCCAAACTTTTCGGAGTATCCCCTACTGTCCAATTCCGTTAGTTTAGGCATTAAATCCATGGAAGAGGACCAAAAAAAAAAAAAGAAATCTAAAATGGCAATACCGTGTGTTTGATCTGAGGGCCGCCTCCACTTTTGCCTCCACAAAAGGGGAGCCTTGTGCTGCTTCATCAGCAGCATCCAGTCCGGAATTGACCCCCATAATCCCTCCCTCTATATGAGCCGTCATTGATCTGCCGCTTGTTTAATGATTCTTAAAATAGTCCTCAATAATCCTCACTAGGTTGCTGTTTTCAACTGCCCAAATTCAATCCTCAATCTGATGTTTCAAATTTGATTTTTGCGTTTTCTGCTTGAAGCTATTGTGGTGCAATTAACTTGTATTCCGGTATTCCGCTTGTAGCCAGTCAGCACAACATTCTTGCTTCCACTTGGCCTACTCTCTAGCCATCAAAGAGTCTATTTGAGCTTCCAGTTCCTCTATTTTAGCTATATGTTTGCCATTATCTGGTGTATTGTATAAGCCAGCAAGCTGTTGTTTCAGTTTCCCCATCTTCTTTTTGCAACTAGCTAAAATTCGAATTACTCCATGAAGTTAATTCCGTCACATGATCCAAGAAGTGCTTTTAGGCCATGTAGAGACATCAAAAGGGACAACCGTGCTTCTCCAGTGTCCCAAGTCTGTGCAACATCATCTATGTATCCATTTTCACTAAGACTAAATGGGTCAAATTGGAACGACCTTTCCCTGTCTTAGCATCTCTTATTTGGTGGCCTTCCAACCATATTTAGGAAAATAGATCGATGATTTCACTACAATAAGCAGAATTAATGAAAACCAGCAGATGCTGAATAAATCAGCAGATAATGAGATGGTGAGGTACTAAATAATGAAGTGAAATGAACATAAGGTATTGCCCTTTGAAAATTTTTAAATTTTGGCCCTTTTCAGTGGATTTAACGCCTAAACTAATGAAATTTGGATGATAGGGGAGTATTCCGCAAAGTTTGGGCCATCCAGAGGGGTTAAGTGCCAGAATGAAAGGATGAGGGGTATACCAATAACCCTTTCTGACATGCATTTACATATATCTTAAGATATGCCAAAATTTTAGTGTGCATATAAGGGATTCATGTTGATGTCGAATTGAACTCTTGCAATTAATTTTGATCTGATTTTGTGAAATGCAATGTGTTTCTGCATTTGCTAATAAAGATAACCTTTTCTCATGTATCTGCTAAGTGTGTCATGTTTGTCGCCAGCTAGGTTTCAATGCAAATATTGATGATATTATGGGATTGAATATGTCAGAAGTTTAAAGTAGACTGATCTTTCCTGCAGGAGTGCGGAGCTGCTTTGGTTTTTTTCAGGACTCGTTATGCTGCTTTGGTTGCTTCAGAGGCACTTCAACAACCTAATCCAATGTCATGGGTGACAGACTTGGCTCCGGAACCAAGCGATATCTATTGGTCAAACCTATATGTACCATATCGAATCTTTTGGATCCGTAAGATTGCCATACTTGTGGCCTTTATTCTGTTCGTGACTTTCTTCCTTATCCCTGTGGTGTTCACGCAAAGTCTTGTTCATCTCGATAAGCTGGTGAAAGTATTTCCCTTTATGAAGGGCATTACAGAGAGGTAAAATGTGCATATGTTAGATGTCAGTTCAATTGTTCCTATTCCGTGACAATTAGTGTCTGGCATGCATATTTGGTTTTGGTTTCTTACACGGTGAAGTATAATTCAAATAACGGATCAAAGATAGATGAAAATGGGTGGTAATCAACTAATAACATTATCTAACCTCAAATGTGTTAGAATATGTACTAAACTTATACATGCCAATTCTAACATCAGTCTCAGGAAAGCACTTTTACTAAATCCATTTTAAAACTTCAATTTTGTGTGGTATTTGAAAGGAAAATATACCAGTTTTAGGATCCCTATCAGCATGGTATCTGTCTTTTTTTTTTCCATCTTAACAGGTACCATATCTTTATATACTTAAAAATGCAAAATATTAGATGAAGTAGGTGTCAATTTTGGGGTCTGCATAGTCTGAAGTATAATAACAAGGAATTACAATTTTCCCTCCTGCTTTCTTGTAGGAAATTTATGAAACAACTAATATCTGGATATCTACCAAGCGTAATACTCATGATCTTTTTGTCCATTGTCCCACCAATTATGATGGTCTTTTCAACATTGGAGGGCTCAATATCTCGTAGTGGCAGGAAAAGAAGTTCATGCATTAAAGTCCTCTACTTTATAATTTGGAACGTATTCTTTGCTAATATTTTAACGGATGCAGCTATTGACCATTATCAAGATTCAATCATGAAATTGGGAGATCCAAAAACCATACCTAACCAGCTTGCCAAAGCAGTACCATCAACGGTGATCTGTTCTGTTCTCTTCTCTTAAGTTTTTACTTCTCTTATAGCACCATCATGGTTGGTTTTATTCTACATATGTAAGAATGTATTGGAATGTTGACCTTGAATTGCCATTTTTATACTGTAAAAATGCTCATTAATATTTGGCAATGCTATCTCTGAATGTTGAATTAAGCTTCTATGGAACTGGAACTATATCTTTAACCATTTGTTGTAAATATATACTGCAAAATTTATCCATCCAAGATTGAAGTGTTCATGTTTTCCACTGAACACGTATATTTCGAGATCTTATGTCACTTATGATTTTATATTGTGCAGGCTACCTTCTTTGTAACTTATGTTCTCACATCAGGCTGGGCTAGCTTGTCCTGTGAATTGATTCAGCCATTTCCTCTTCTTTGCAACTCATTTTATAGATTTATTCTTAGAAACAAGGATGATACAAGTTATGGATCTTGTACCTTTCCATACCACACAGAAGTTCCAAGAGTCCTCCTCTTCGGACTTTTGGGTTTCACTTGTTCAGTGTTGGCTCCTTTGATATTGCCCTTCTTGCTGGTTTACTTTTTCCTTGCCTATCTGGTGTACCGTAATCAGGTGAGCATTTCCTATGGAGGTGTTCTACTGTGTCTGAACCTTTTCTAGTTCACACAGTTGGGAATGATCGCACTAGTTTTTTGTAATATGCATTAGTGTCTTTTCCTTTAAAAGAACCCTAGGATACTTGTGGGAATGCATGTGAACTTTTGTGATGCTTGTTGACTTATGTACAAATTTGTTTTACTTTAATTCTTTCAAGAAGTTTTATAGCGTGAAGAGGTATGAATTTTTGTGTTTTCCACTATGCGCTTTCTTCTTATCTTGAAATAGAGCACTCATGTCTTTTATGTTCACCTATTGAAAAGGCTGATGTTCCTAGTCTCCTGATTTGATCACTTTGCTGAATTTACGCATGATCACTGAGTTATTTACTTGGTAGAAGTGTTGGTACATTAAAATATCACTTATAAAATTTATTTCTTTCACAATTGAATCCTTAGAAAATCTACTTTTCTGGGTGCTGACACCATGTACTTCACCTTCTTTGTGCATTTCCTCTTCTGCATTTTTTATACATACATAAAAGATACACCAGTAATTCTGGTAATTCTGTTGTGAATTGATTACAAGATAATGACAATAATGAAATATACAAGAATAAAATAAGAACAAAAAGATTTTTGTGGAAACCCAATATGGGAAAAAATCACATGTAGAGGAGGAGAAATTCACTACAATTAATAGTCCATGTGTTTACAATATCAAGATCTTAGTACTCTCAATTGAAATTTAAGTTCTCTAACTTTCAAGATGATGTTGAATATGTATATAGAGATACAACATTGTGGATTATATATAGGAGCCTCGTTTTGGAGTTCAAGTTGAAGAATAATTCATGAAATTTGCAAAATCCCGAAAATTTCGTCCAAGCCCCTCGGCGTTGGGAGCTCGGCGCCCGGGTGCTATTTTCCCATGGGTGCTAGGCTTCTGCGGTGCTTTATTCTTCGTGGCGCTGCTGCGCCTATTTTCTAGTTTGATTTTTTCAATGATGTTTTCACCATCCCAAAATTCTTTTCCAAGCTAAGCTCCTAATTTTTGATGAGTTTGATCTTTATTAATTAGGACTATCAAACTAAGAGGGTGTTTGGTTGGGATCGAAATTAGATTTTTAGTAGATTGTGATAGAAGTTTTTGAAATTGGCGGTTGAAAAGTTGTGGGACCTATGAAAGATGTGGTTAATATTGTTTGTTTGACTTTGATTTAGATTAAAATCAGATTTTAATCCAAAACAAACAGGCTCTAAAACTGCTCAAACTTCCTTTATTCAACCAAATACCTAATTACAAGGAATTTTGGTCACACCACAACAAATTTCCACATTCAACCAAATTTTAACACAAGAAATCCTAAACACATCTCCAAGTAAACACCACTCCTTTTCCAAACATGCTTCAATGGACTAAATCAATGGCAAACACCAACTAAGTTCATGTAATGTTCAAACTTAGCAATGAAAAGTGGTTTGTCATCATATTAGCAGGATTTTCCTTGGTATCGACCTTACTCACTACAATATCACCATAAGAAATCACATAACGCACAAACTAATACCTCTCATCAATGTGCTTAGTCCTTTCGTGAAATATTTGGTCCTTGGTCAAGAAAATAGCACTTTGACTATCACAATACACTGCAGAAATCTACAGGTGTTCATTGATTTTACCAATCAATCATCTCAACCACATAGTTTCCTTACATGCATATGTAATGACCATGTACCCTGCCTTTGTTGCAAACAAAACTACTTTATTCTGCAAAGTATCTTTTCAACTGACAGTACAGTTGTGGAATATATATAGGAGCCTCTTTTTGGAGATACAATAGTATGGAATAGATGTAGGAGCCTCTTTTTGGAGTTCAAGTTGAAGAAGAATTTATGAATCCGCAAAATCTCGAAAGTTCCGTCCAGGCGCCTCGACCCTGGGAGCTCGGGTGCTATTTTCCCACAGGGGCGCTAGGCTTCTGCAGTGTTTTATTCTTCGTGGCTCCGCGGCGCCTATTCCCTAGTTTGATCTTTTCAGTGATGTTTTCACCATCCCAAAATTCTTTTCCAAGTCAAGCTCCTAATATTTAATGAAATTAATCTTTATTAATTAGGACTATCAAACTAAGAGGGCGTTTGATGGAGATTGAAATTAGATTTTTAGTGGATTGTGATAGAAGTTTTTGAAATGTGTGATTGAAAAGTTGTAGGACACATGAAAGATGTGGTTAATATTCATTGTTTGACTTTAACTTGGATTAAAATCAGATTTTAATCCAAAACAAACAGGCTTTAAAATTGCTTAAACTTCCTTTATTCAACAAAATATCAAATTACAAGGAATTTAGAATATCAAATTACAAGGAATTTGGGTCACAACACAACAAATTTCCACCTTCAATTGAATTCTAACACAAGAAATCCTAAACACATCTTCAAGTAAACACCACTCCTTTTCCTAACATGCTCCAATGGGCTAAATCAATGACAAACACCAACTAAGTTCAAGGAATGTTCAAACTTAGCAATGGGAAGTGGTTTTGTCATCATACCAACAGGATTATCTTTGGTATCAGTCTTACTCACTATAATATCACCACAAGAAATCACATCACGTACAAAATGATACCTCACATTAATGTGATTAGTCCTTTCGTGAAACATCTGGTCCTTAGTCCAGAAAATAGCACCTTGACTATCACAATACACTGTAGAAATTTGCAAGTCTTCATTGATTTTATCAATCAATTATCTTAACCACATAAATTCCTTACATGCCTCTGTAATGACCATGTACCCTGCCTCTGTTACAGACAAAACTACTGTAGTCTGCAAAGTAGCTTTCCAACTGATAGCACAACCTCCAAAGGTAAACACATATCTTGTAAGTAATCTACTCTTATCAAGATTCTCTGCATAATTTGAATCCACATACTCAATGATTTTATCTGTATTTGTATCAAAACGCAAACAAGCATTAGGAGAGCCCGTTAAATATCTAAACATCTACTACACCGCTTTCCAATGTTCCTTGCCAGGATTTGCCATATATCTATTAGCTGCATTGACTTCATGTGCACATTTGATTTTGTACAAACCATAGCATACATAAGCGACCCAACTGTACTGGCATAAAAAACTCGAGACATGTAATCAATGTCTTCATCTGATTGAGGGCATAAGCATGGTATGAAAAAACCTTGCTGAGGCCTGCCTCACTGTGAGGCGCAGCTTACGCCTCAAAACGTTTTGAGGCTTACGTCTTGCCTCATGACAAAAAAAGGCCTCAGTACCCCGTTTATGTTTTTTTAAACTATGGGCATAAGCCAAATGATAATTTAAAGTGGGCAGCCAAAGGAGTACGACAGCCTTAGCATTCAGCGTATTGAACCCTTGAAACACTTTCTCAATGTAATCCTTCATACTCAAATACAATATGTGATCTTCCTATCCCTTAAGATTTTTATACCAATAATTTTTCTTACTGGATTATTGCACCCAAATCTTTCATCTCAAACTCCTCACAAAGTTGAGCTTTAATTTTTTAACATCTGTTTTATCCTGGCGCTATGAGCATGTCATCAACATACAACAACAAATATGTAATCGATCCATCATCTCCTTTTCTGAAGTACATACAACTATCATAACTGCTTCTAGTGAAATTATAAGTAGTCATGAATGAATCAAACATTTTATACCACTGTCTCGGTGACTGCTTTAGTTCATACAAAGACTTATTTAACAAGCACACATAATTTTCCTTTCCAGAAACTATGAAACTCTCTGATTGTTACATGTAGATGATCTTCTCAAATTCTTAATGCAAGCATGCTGTATTGACATTTATCTGCTCAAGCTCTAAGTCATCTTTAGCCACAACTTTAAGCTCTAATTGAGTTATGTTTTACTACTGGTGAGAACACATCCGTGAAATCAACACCTGGATCCGACTGTAGCCCTTTGAGGAACACCCACTCGCAGCGAACAATCTTTTTAACCTTAGATAATTTCACTAAATCCCAAATATTATTTTTATTCAATGACTCAATCTCCTCCTGCATAGCAATCAACCATCTGCTAGAATCATTGCAACTGATTGCACTTCAAATTAGGAACATGTCTTACATCTGTAAGTGTTCTAATAGCCCCATCGAACATTTTGATCCTAACTGTACCAACTTTGACAATTTTGCAAGACGCGTTGTTTCCCATAATCACTATATCTCTTGAAAATGCTTCATATGTTGTAAACCAGTCCCTGTTGGGACACATATGGAAAGTACATGTCGAGTCAAGAACCCATTTCTCACAAGGTTTCAAACCCATGTTAGAAATCATAAAAAGCTCTCTTTGCCCATCTTCCACAACATCAGTCTTCATTGTGTTTACATGTTGCTTTCTTTTATCAGTAGCACCAGCGGCCTTGTTTCTGTTTTTCAAAGCATAGTAATCAACTCTAATATATCCATTCTTCTTACAAAAGTGACATGTTTTCTCTATATGACTTGATTTCGATCTGCCCCTCATATTTCTACCAAGATTTCTATCTTGATTTCTCCCACAAACAATTAGGCCTTCAGCTTGACTCTTAGATCCTTAGGCGAGATGGCTCATCTTCTCTTTAGATAATAAAGCATCATATATCTCCTCCACAGTGAGAGTTTCCCGACTATAGAGAATAATATCTCTAAAAGTCACATATGATGGCGGCAACAAACACAACAACATCAGCGTTAAGTCTTCCTCATCATACTTAATTTCAAATGTCTCCAAATCAGACATGATTTTTTTGAACGTACTTAAGTGATCATCCAATGACGCACCTTTGGACATTCGGTGGGAATACAAGCTTTGTTTCGAGTGTAACTTGCTGGTCAAACTCTTTGTCATACAAAGTTGCTTCAATTTCAACCACAACGTAGCGGCATTTTTCTCCTTAAGTTGAAGACATCTTATCAAACCCAAGTAATGCTTCCTTTAAGTCCATCACGTGAGAACCGCTTGCTTCTTCACTTGTTATAAAGTAAATTTCGTATTTCCATCAATAATGGAATATCATATTTCATCGATGTCACGTGAAAATCAACATTGCTCTAATACCAGTTTGTTGTGAATTGATCGCAAGATAATGATAATAATGAAATATACAAGAATAAAATATGAACACCAAGGTGTATGTGGAATCCTAAGAAAAGAAAAAATCACAGGCAAAGGAGGGGAAATTTACTATAATCAAAAGTAATTGTGTTTACAATATCAATATTTCAATACTTTCAATTGAAATCTAATCTATCCAGAGCTCGAGATGTTGAATATTTATGCGGAGATATAACAATGTGGAATATATATAGGAGCCTCTTTTTGGAGTTTAAGTTGAAGAAGAATTCATGAAATTCGCAACATTTCGAAAATTCAGTCTAGGTGGCTCTACAGCAGTGCCTCAACGGCGGGGACGGTGCCTCGATGCTAGGAGCCTGTCACCCTAGCACTGTTTTCCCACGGGGGGCCAGACGTTGAGCTTTTACCCTGTTTTCTTCTCGAGGCGCCCGACCATGGCGCCACGGCGCCTACTCTTGAGTTTGATCCTTCTAATAATGTTTTCACCATCCCAAAGCCCTTTTCAAAGCCATACTCCAATCTTTAATGAAATTTGATTTTTATTAATTAGGACTATCAAACCAAAACTCTTTAAACTTCATTTATTCAACCAAATACCAAATTATAAGGAATTTGGGTCACACCACGACAAATTCTGAAAGGTGAAGAAAAAGGGAATTATAAGATAGAACACACTGTGCTTTAGTTATGTGGAATATCAATCTGTTGGTGTAATTATTATGACTACTGTTTTTAATCTCTATATGCTCGATTACTGTGTTTTTTGATAGATTTTGTTAGATAATCATGTGAAAAATTCCATGAATCTTCTTTTGATTTGTAACCAGTCTTTTTGATGTAGAATGGTAAACAGGAAGAAATTACAGGGATAAGAATTTAGAGACAGAGAAAGAGAGACATTATTAAAGAAAAATCTCAATAGTGTTGAATATCAAAAATAAATGTCTGAACTATTCAACAATAGTAGGTCTATTTATTGTAAGTAACTCTGACAAAAATGGTAAGTTGCTAAAATAAACATAAAAAGATTATCTATATGCACGTCCTTGCATTTGTATTATTTCCATATTTAAAGCTTCGTAGTTATGTCACTCGTAACTTGAGGATAGCATACATCTTGGTTCTGTGGATACAAAGGTAATATAGGGGAAGGAAGATAACAAAATGAGTTTTTTTTCATACATTGTTTCAATTAATTTTTTTCCTCGCATCTTTTTTGTGGATTGGGGTTTCTTTTTTTTACCCCCCCCTCTCTCTCTCTCTCTCTTTTTTTTGGGATGCGGGTGGTGGGGATGTGGGGCTTGAAATTCTTTCCTTTCATCTTCTTTTTCTTCTATTTTTGGCATTCTTGAAATTGTTCTAGTTTTGTCATACCAATTTGGAAATTTTTATTTCAGATACTTGATGTATATGTCACAAGATATCAGAGTGGGGGACTATATTGGCCTATCATACACAATACAACAATATTTTCATTGGTACTGACACAAATAATAGCATTGGGAGTTTTTGGAATAAAACATTCGCCGATTGCATCAAGTTTCACCATTCCACTGATTATATGCACACTCCTGTTCAACGAGTATTGCAGGCAACGGTTTCACCCGGTATTTAAGAAGACGCCTGCAAAGGTAATATATTACAAACTGAGATTTATCTTTTTATGAAAACACTACTCTATAGAGTGACAGACATTTCTAGTCGCTCATCTTATGGCGAACTTTCATGTTAGTGACCAAACTTTATTTTATTCCAAAGTAATCACTCAAGCTTTTTGTTTCAGTTTGGTCACTTGGTTGAAATCCATTAGTTTTTTGGATAGAATGTCCAAATGTGAAAGACTTTATATTGATACATCAGATGGTCATCTTCTGTGGGAGACATACTTTTATAGAAACTAAAGGTTTTTAACTGATCGAACTAAAATGAAAGGCAAACTTGAGTGATCCCTTTGGAACAAAATAAAATTTTGTGATTAAAATGAAACTTCCTTGATTGACTAACAGTGTTTTTAACCCCTAAACTACAATTAAGGATATTACATTTTAGCATGAAAATGAAACACTAGTTTGATCTATTTTTCCTCGCCATCTGTTCCCTGTAACATGCTAGTAACTTCACAGACAATTATTGATATGGATCGGGAAGATGAACACTATGGAAGGATGGAAGAGATTCATCATAAACTGCTATCTGCTTATTGCCAAATCAAATCAGAATCAAGGAGTTCGGCTAAATCTTTTGAACTGAATTGCACCGAGATTGAAGCGAATGTCAGAGAAACTGGGGACATCAGCAGGCTTGAAGATCCAGAGGCTCCAGGTTCGCTACACTGTTTTTATGATTTTCTTTTTAGATATACCTATTTGTGCACATAGTTGTAAAATAGGCTGGATTGTCCAGGCCCAGGTGGCTAGGGTGAGACCTCTAAGTTTTCATTAAAAAGAAAAAAGGAGAGAGATGGGAGACAAATATTAATTGTAGTCTTGGGACTCTTCAATGCACCTCAGGAAGGAAATTTTTTTTTTCTATGCCACAAACAAAAAAAATGTAACCTGCTATTGTCAGGCCCAACTTAACCCAGCAAGCCTGGAAAATGCGCTTTATAAACTTCTTAACAATCATCCTTATCCACTGTCCTCAATTTGTTGATTTGCAGGAAACGCATCTGCTCGACTTCCTTGATTTGGGGTTGGACGCAGCTGGTTGGAGATAGAATTGCACGTAAAAGAGACTGAACAGTTTTGTGTGCATGAATTGTGCCTTTACTGTCAGTTCATATATGCAATTGTCGTGAGTTTGGAATACGACATGCATAAAAGGATAGATATAAATATTTAGGCACATTTCTGAGGTTTGTGTACAAAATGACACTGGTTGGAGGCCTTGTAAAATTTATAGCAACAATTCAAAAGTTGTGTATTTATCTTGTGTAACCTCAGTCAGGTATATTCAATGTTCTTGACTTGTGTACCAATCAAGAGAAGGTCAAGTATTTGAAGTTAGATTGTTTATATATATATGTCTGGATGTCAATTTGCATAGCTCTTGAGAAAATCACTACATTTTATTGAGATGTCACCGAGTAGGTATAGCATCTTCCTAAATCTCTTTATCCATATTTTCTTACCGAACTCTTCTAGTGGGTAGAACTTTCGTGCAACTTGCAGAGTGGGTTTGGTCTGGTACAATTGGATTAGAAGATGGATTAGGTGGAATTGGATTAGGAATGATAGGACGAAGGGATGCCATATAAAATTATAGTATATTGTTTTAGGATGCTTATTGTACATTATTATTTACATAACCATGCTAGGTGTACAATCATTAATGGGTTACAACACTTACAACACATTCACATTAGTGTGGGTCCCACCAATTAATTAATTGGTGGGGTCCAAACTAATGTGAGTGTGTTGTAAGTGTTGTAACCTACTAATGATTGTACCAATAGCTTTTTTGAATTTTTATAGATTGATGATCAGTCAAAAAGAAAGTGAAGAATTTTATATATTTTTTTGGTTGGTGAGATTTTAACCCAATCAAATTTCATCACATCAAGCGTTGGTAAACAAGTTTATAAGTTATGATGTATATATAAAACAATCGATTGTTTTAAAATGGTGTTTGGTGCTACAATGTATTAAAAAAGTTCGAGAATTGGAAAATGAAAAATTATTAGTTATAATTGGTAAATTTAGACATAGGACAAGCCTAATTTGTTAGAGGAGCTTTTTTTTTTTTTTTT